ATGATAAATTGTATTGTAAATGAGGCACTAACTAAATATGAAAGTTAAGTCTGTGTTTCATTCATGAGAAGAATTGATCTACCGTCCTCCAAGAGTATGAAAAGCTCTTTTTGATCAGCATAAAATAAAATGATAATCTTAAATAGGCACTAGACTTTTCCCACTTACCTACATTAGAATCAATAATGGATAACGCAAGAAGAATAGTGTGGGTTTGGATTCGCTAACATGCACTAGGGCAAAACCTGTGTCCAATGGTGGCTGGTGGTTTGTTCAATACTCTAAACATCTTAGAAAAACTAACACAGTAACGTAACATTGTTAGCTTCTGCATAAAAACCACAATAACATCCGCATCGCATTGTGGGCATGTTAGGTACTTTACTCCATATTTTACACCCTCTGTCCGTGTTTAATCTATGGCAAATGAAGCGGGACACATGCCCAGGCGCAGCCGATTAATGCCTACCGTCGCGTGTGGATCACGCCCGCGACCTGATTGTTGGCTAATCACGCTGAAATGTACCTTAATAGCTTTGGATAAAGAATATCTGGAAGTGCCAATTTGTTATTTTAATATATGAAAGGTAATAATATGTTGATTTGGGGCTGATTTTTTAATCATCGTATATTTTTTATTGACGAATAAAATTGGCATATTGACAGTTTCTACACAGTAGTTTCTATGTGGGAAAAATGTTGAAATGACAATTTTATTCCTGAGACAAAAATTATCCGACGGCTGAAAAATCAGCCCATGGTGTACCTAATTCATATCATAAAGGGAGCTTTTCTTTATGTAAGTTGATTTTACGTTCAACCCTATTTTGTTTTTAATGTGATTTCAACTGTCCTCTGCTGAAATTGAAATCTAGCACTGAAAACAACTTTCAAACATCAAGGCAAAAGCCCTTAAGGACTTTATTTACTTAAAAACTCAAGAATATAAAGCTCTCGTTTCCAGGACGCAACAAAGTGAAACCTCGAGTAATCAAGGCAAGATGAAAGTCAAAGGAATTCCTCAATCAATAAGCGAGGCTCCAATTGAAGCCACTTACGAAGCCATTCATGCTATGTCCACAATGTTAGTTTGTATCCGAAAGCAAGGAATTCGCTGGCCATTCATGTTATTGCCAATTAAAAGTAACTTTCATTTCATTTCACACATTTCTATTCCATTCTAAGGCTAACAATTGTAACCTAATTTTATTACGTTTCCTTTACTTTTATTTTCCATACAACAAATTAATGTGCTAAGCAATTCATATTGCATTAGATATTGTTTTATAAATATGGAACTCATTTTATAAATAATGGATAATTATTTACCGATGCTTTGGAGTTAATCTTCATTAATCGTGTTTTTAGTGCTTAAATCTAGATTAAGAATGATTCTTGTGACTGCCTCATCAGTATTAACTATTTTTTGCAATAATCATTTCATCTGATCCGCTTCTCGCCGCTTCCGGTCTGATGTCGCAGTCATAAGTACGAAATCGGACTTTGCTAAAATTGTCCGTATCGGAATTCCAGGGTCCCCGTTCCGGGTTTCAAACACTTCTCTCCGTGGAAGTTTGGGGCAAGATTGCTGCCTTGGATAATCAAGCCTGGTGGACCTGGGCTGCCACCGAGAACAGTTTTACGCCTACCGGAAATCGGAAGATCAGTACCGTGGCCTTGATTATTTCTGGGACTTTGTGTCGCTCGGTTGCCAATTATTGACCCACTACCTGAACCTTCGTAAATTAGATTTAATAAACCTTTGTTGTAAATGTTTAGTTTTTTATTGTTTAATTTCCTTTTTGTTACTACCCTTCTACTAGGGCAGGTTACACAATATTAAATGAAGTTATGGAAATTTTTGGAAGAGGTATTTTCCATCAGTGGAAGTTATTTGACTGAAACGAGAACGAAAAATACAAATATATGAACGTCATAATAGAAGACTTTAAAATAGTACCTGGTAAACTTATTTAGTTCATTGATAATTCAATGTTAAAAAATGATGACGGCCGTTTGGTGTAGTGGTTCAGAACGGACTACTATGCCGAGAGGTCCCGGGTTCGATTCCCGGCCGGGCAGAAATTTAAATGATGAATTTTAATTTCTGTGACGGGTCTGGGTGTTGTTACTATGTATAATATGTATGTATTTAAAAAAAAAAGTATATAAGTAGTATATCCGTTAAGCTAGCACCCATAACACAAGCATATAATTGCTTACTTTGGGGCTAGATGGCGCTGTGTGAGATTGTCCAAAGATATTTAATTCACTTCTCTGAAAATACTGAAATCGATTTTGATCGATGATAGTTCTACATTTTTTTCACACATTAGGGTATATTTTTGACACCACAATTATTACCTTCGTAACTACTTTTTTGAGCTGTCAAAATTCCTTCCTATTTTGGTTTTCAATTTCAAAGCAATTAAAATTCTAAACTGTTTTATAACTTTAACAATTAAGATTACTTTGAAAACATAGTTATTGAAAAAAAAGTTTTGCATAGAAAGCTACTTGAATAAGATTTTACTCGTACCTTTTTAATTTATTGATCGTTTCCAGTAATGTTCTGTAATATCGCTGATATTGCACAGTACTCGTAATGCAATGCGACTGTCCCCATTAGCTGATGCAATCGTCACAATGCACAATGGTAGAGTTGCTTCGCTAGCGATGAGCGATACTTTGTTTTGGTCGCGCTTTTAACTGATATTTGCAAGTAAGTAAAAGATAGAATATAAGGGCAAGTATAAGATAGATAACTCTCTAGTTACATTGAAATCTGTAAGCTGTTGATATTCTTGGATGGCTCAAACTTGGAGTGCAGGAGTGGTTTTGTTCCCCAATCGACGAAGCACATGATGTCGTGCCCTGCGTGCCCAAACAACTGCACGCAGGAAGATTTAATGAAGGCTACTGACAACGCCATTCTTGTGGCGGAGTTTGGGGCCGACGCTGTGTAGGTTTGTTGTCGACACGACAAGAAGAAGGTCCTTAGTAAATAAATAGACCTAGGTTCCTGAATTCCCTGAATTCTAAAGCTTCTAATGTACGAGTAAACAGGCATCTTTTGATCAAGTTCGCTTCGCTATAGACCGTTTGCACAGCTGTAAGATTATGACTCAAGCTCATGCAGTAAAAAAATACATAATCGCGGTTTCAGTTGTAGTGACAAAGTTGAAATAGATGATGTCACGTTTCTAACTAACTAGAAAGCATACTTTGATGGGCCTGGGACAGAATCTGGGACTAATTGTATCTCTAGTTGACCCGGCAAACTTCGTACCGCCTATGTTCATCTATCTATCTATAAAAGCGAAAGGTCACTGATTGACTGACTCACTCATCACGAAATCTCAGAAACTACAAGTGCTAGGAGCCTCAAATTTTGTATGGGGGTTCCTTTCAGAATGTAGGTCACTAAGACGGGACGATTTTCTAAAATTCAACCCCTAAGGGGGTTAAACGGGATCAACGTGTAATCTAGTTATAAAATAATGTAGGATTCTAATGGTGAAGTAATTTTTCATCAAATCTGTCCAGTGGTTTTGAAGCTTATTCAATACAAACAAACAATTAAATCTTTTCTCTTTATAATATTAGTGTAGAAGAGCGGCAAACGCTATAATAGTCTGACCAACATGCTGCTTCTTATGTCTTAGGTCATTTTGTCCTTTAATCAGATCTTATGTTACTCTCCAAATGGATAACTCCTAAAGCTCTAAAAGCTACATAAAAGCTCCCAGTTTAATACACATTAGCGCACGTTTGAACTCTAACATCATAAGTCAGACATACACTACAGTGCTAACTAAATACAGATCTGAAAAGCTCAACCTAAGTACATGTTAGGAACGATTCACACAGAGCGGAATGACAATAGAGAAAGATGTTGTGATATGATAAACGTAAACCACACCAAACATGAAAAAAAAAGAACTATGGTAGTATCACAAGTAATAATGTTATTCTTAAAATCTTATTGAAAGTTAATTACATTTTTTTGAAGAAGTTTTTAAGATTCCAATATAGTAGATAATAATAAGATAAATACTTTCTTTCTGTCTACCGAAACGAAACCCTTGACATACCTACTATTCTTTTAATAAACTTTGTGTAATGTTAATTAAGTCAACAGCACTTTCGACTAAGTATACCTACAGTTTTACTGCAAAATCGTACCTATTCGAACTGCATTAGAGTTTTAGTGTTTAGTTTATGTGCCATCACTATACAAAGGGTAACTAACATTACTCGTATGTCGGCATTTCACTAGCTCTTGTCGTCTTGAAGTTGTCTGTCGGTTGGGTTTTTATTGGCGGTCAAGCTGTAGATCCTGGCTACACAGGAGTTGCAGCGGTGGGAACGAGAGGTGGGAATAGTCCCATAGCTCTTGTCTTCTGTGTGAACCGACCCTACCCTGATTCGCGTCACGCTGCACGCTCGCGCACAAAAGCAGAGCGAGCATTGTTCGCGCTCGCTCAGCTCAATGTTGACTTCAGACTAATTGTGCGCTTAGATAGCTTCTTATAACACGCTTGTTCTGAAACACGTTTTTGAGCGAAGAATTGGTGCAGCGAAATGCAATTTGTTTGTGAGAAAAGAGCAATCACGGCTTTGACGTTAGATTTAAAAGGTTTAGAAGGTGTGTGAAATCCAGCGCGTTGATTTCTTGAAAACTAATTGGAACTGGTTTAACAAATAATTGACTGAAGTCTGCATTGACAGTACCTATATTATTTCAAACTTTTATAATGCAGGATTACTACAATCTTCTCGAATTTACCGGAAACAAAATGATTTGGCCTAAAGTCCCTACGTTGGACAGGTTAAGGAGGCTTGATGTTCGCATTAATTTGTCCCTTAGTTGTATCTTACGAAGGGAAGAAGTTCTTACGGAAAGAGTAAGGGGTGCTCACTGCTCACAATCTACCTCTACTCTGCTGTAAAAGCAATCGTTCTGTAAATATCTCCAAGAAGACTAGTCTAGGACTGACCTGTACAGCGTCGTCGAGGCACCGTCCCCAGGCGTCACTTCGGTCCACCAGGGTGTTCCACTTGTCAGCCAGTTTAGCCACTTCCCTCCTGATGGAGCGGGCCAGTTCCCTCGCCTGCTCCTCAGCTGACCGGTAGCCGCGGGAGTCGCCTTCATTCTCGCGGTTTTCTGCGAAGAAAGAGCTGGTTAGATATTGGCTTTATTTAAACGTAATACAATGAGTTACAGTCCAGTAAAATGGCTAGATCGTTGGTTTGCACCCTTCTGGTGCATAAGGCCTATAGTGGAATTACGTCTATCATTTCGTCCGGAACCCTTACAGGATCACTTCGATGTCCGTCCATCCGTCTGTCAAGACCCTTTTTCTCAGGAACGCGTGGAGGTATCAAACTAAAATTTATACCAAACTAGCTGACCCGGCGAACTTTGTTCCGCCTTAATGGCAATAAATAACGGGATAAAAAGTATCCTATGTCCTTCTCCTGGCTCTAAACTACCTCCCTGACAATTTTCAGCTAAATCGGTTCAGCCGATCTTGAGTTATAAGTGGAGTAACTAACACGACTTTCTTTTATAATATAGATATAGATACTCAGATCTACTGTCCCATGGAGCTGTGAAAAAAACAAATTTCTAAGCCAACGCAATCGAAAGATACAGCCGTTTATGCCGCAAAACTTTGTAGCCTAGCATTGATGTGGGTAGGTGCATAATGATGATTAAATTGTAATATCTCTGCATCGATACCCCTTTCTTTTAATTGTATCTATTCTATGTAAACGTTGTGTGCAACATTTATAGGAATTCAATTTGAATGCAAAAAAACTAATGTTATTCTATAAAAATGTTTGAGATTGTATTCTGTTGTTGTACCTATAAATAAATAAATAAATAAATAAACCGCAATTTTACGAGATTTTATTTTTCACGAGACCAAGTGTCACAGATATACTCGTATCAGTAACAATGTTTGTATTCGTTGTATGCTAAAACTGCTCTAAAAGCTTTTATAATGTAGTTAGAAATAGAAAATTTAATTTCACCGTTTTAAAAATAGTTGTGAATAGTTTGTAGCACAAACAACGAACTATTCAGCCACAAACCCAACTAAAACTAGCGCGAACTGTAAGCGGAACCTGCAGGAAGTGTTGCGAAAAAAGCGGGAATTTAATAATTACAACGTTACTTCCTTTCACAGGAATTCCCGGTTTAAGTAGAATAGTTTCAAGAATGCTTAGTATGCTTTTATTCGTAGTTTCAAAGGAATTTTCCGAAATATTTTCGCAACAAACAAATTCCAGGATTGACATAACAAAATTAAGTCTAAATTATTATCGATTTACACGTTCATATCACTAAAAACGCCAACGTGTTAAGCGCTTTTTAAAAGCCTATAAATGCAGAAAATAAATGAGTTTTTTTTAGAAGTTGAGACGACATAATATTATTGTGGAAACTATATTATGAAAATGTGTTGGAATAAAAATAACGCCCTGCTTAAAACGAATTCGAAAGAACCCTGTAAGCAGTTGTAGTTTTGACGGAGTACAGTCAGCGTCAAAATATATTAAAACGAATTCGAAAGAACCCTGTAAGCAGTTGTAGTTTTGACGGAGTACAGTCAGCGTCAAAATATAGTTCGTGACACCCAGAGTAGCCAAAAAGTGAAACACAACCTTATTCCAAGTAACAAAGACTTGTTGCGAACTTTTTTGTTACCCAACAAACTATGTATTTGACGCTGACTGTACAAAGGTGTGCCAATGCCCCATTTCCAGAACTGTTGCAAATCGGAATCATCGCTTCATTCGCTGTAATCCCATTACGATCGACGCGATCAGTCCGAGATTTGCAATTACCGGCCGCTGGATTGCAGCGCTTTGTTCCGCTGCAGCGCTTGATTGTAAACCACGCTTCAGATGCTCCTTGTTTTGGGCGTTTGATGGAAACGGGGCCACTATTTGTTCGTATTGTTAAGGACTGTAATGGTTCCACTGAGTGTAGAATAATAGCGATGTGTAGTGTTTACAAATCTATGGAATACACTTTCAGACCTATAATAATGTCCCTTGGATAAGGTCAAAGCAAGTAAAAGAATAAAGATTTCAGTTTAAAGTTTCAGCATCAAAAAGCAGTTCAAAAAAACTTAAAATGAACTGACTCAATAAAGTTTTTTCTATTTCTTTAAGTAAATTTTATTTTATGCATAAAACGAGCCTTTAGATCACCATTCCTAATGCTTATTGACATTCAAAATCAAAATGATCTTTATTTGTTTAGTTAGACTAATCCCATCAAAAACAATACTTGTCAAAAAAACCAAGTCTCGCAACTCAGTTGTTCTACGGTAAAAAGTTGTGAGATCCATGTAATACCAAGTCCAGGCCAGGAAATCTTTAACGTTTTACATAAATTATTGACTTGGCCATCGCACTAAATAATTTAATTTACACGTGTTTTCATGCGATGGCCAAGTCAATATATTTATGTAAAACGTTAAAGATTTCCTGGCCTGGACTTGGTATTACATGGATCTCACAACTTTTTACCGTAGAACAACTGAGTTGCGAGACTTGGTTTTTTTGACAAGTATTGTTTTTGATGGGATCTCATTTCTTTTTGTATTTTGTAGACAGCAGTTATGTATCTAGAAAACTGGACCGAAATTGAAAAATTTTACTCGACTTGGCGGTTGCACTACCGTGCCCCCAAATATTTTAGTTTTTCCTTGATTCATACACCAAACACTACTTATATTCCAAATTTGAAGCTTCTAGGTCTGCTAGAAGTGCCTTAGAGTTTTGATGATCGGTGAGTCAGTGAGTGAGTCAGTGAGTCAGTCAGTGAGTCAGTGAGTGACAAAATTAAGTAACTTTGACCCGTTATAATTCTTAAACTACTGGTTCAAATTGAATGAAATTTTAAATATACCGTGTCTTTACAATGCCTGCATAGCTAATGAAAATTCAGCCTTCTAGTTTTATCCACAACGAAGTTACAGGCAGTCGAAAATGGCCTGAATTGCTTCGAGAAAAGGATGGTACGGCCGTGCCGCTTTTTTGCTCGACTTGGTGGGGGCACTGCCGTGCCCCCAGATTAAATTAGTACTTACAAATCGTCAAAATTAAATGCTCTTAAGGAGCCTATGCATGTCTCATTCTTTTTTTGCCCTACCAGCGCTTCGAGACAAACATTTGGCAAGTGCTGAGAAGGGTTGCCAAATAATCGTCTGCCTTTTTTAAAAACGTACAGTTCTCCTTCGGTTCCCTTAGCATCAATATACCAGTAGGCCTAAGATGCGCGCCGTGATAACTTTTATCGACGTCAAAATATGTATGGGCAAAATCGATAAAATGGCGTGATAACAGCTTATCGCGGCGCGCATCTTAGGCCAACTGTAGTAATCTGCCTACACGTGTACACTGTACAATCCCATGGCATTTATCAACACTTGAGGTACCCCTAACACCATTCAGAACGTGTAATCGGCTTAGCAGACAGACGGCAGGCGTGTGCTGACTCGCATATCTGCCTGGTTGCTCATATGTAGAATGTAGAGGCAGGTAGCTACGTCATATGCTGGGAATTTGGTACAATAACTCAGAAGGTAGGTTAGGTTAGGTTAGGTTGATCTGCCACAAAGGCGATGAGCAAATTCGTCGTAAATGAAAAATTATATGTTATTTATTAAAATATCCAGATCGTCACAAAAATATGTAAGGTACCACAGCTCAAATATGATAATTGTGTCGTTGGTCAAGCGTTTTTTGACTTTTTTTTTACTTTGATTCAAAAAAGCATCGATAGTCAAGCGAAAAAGTGTGGCGATTTGACAAATGATCTTGTTATTGCTTTATCACTACATAGTATAAAACAAAGTAGCTTTCCGCTGTCTGTCCCTATGTATGCTTAGATCTTTAAAACTACGCAACTGATTTTGAAGAGTGATTTAAGAGGAATGTTTATATGTATACTTAGCACCCATGCGAAGCCGCTAGTATAAATGCGACTAAGTATTACTAACTCTCGGAGAATTTTAAATACTCTTGTGATCTAAATTTTCAATACACAGTCGTTAAAGAGATTCTTCTTATGAAGCTTCAAAAGAAACCTCGACAGATCTCGGTGTTAGACACTGCAAGATTTTGTACCAATCTTAATTAATCCCTCTTTGGAACTTGACTCGCTTGATTAAGAACTAGAAAATGGTTCGCTGAGTGTGCGGTTTTATTTTAACGTTATGTAACGAAATTACGAGTATGTGACATAGGATTTAGGAGTGATTGTAGACATGTTAATGTGACTCTTTATAAGTCTGTGTAGGACGAAAGTTTATTTGGGGTCTTTGTAAGTGTAAATGAAATTCACTGTGAAATATCTTTTAGACAAAATTTTTTTCATTAAAAAACAGAATCATGACCACTCAATTGGCAGATATTACGCAGATATAATAGATAGACAGATAGATTTAAAATACATTAAATCCGACACACATAATTGATGTTGTCTCTACCACATAGGAACTACGATTTGATTACTAAAGCATAAAAATATTTAAAATGGGACATCAAACATCCTAGGTACTTACATTTACTATTATCTACCCTTTTCTTTCTAATTAGTAACTACGTATTATTGTACATCCATGTTGTCTTACACTTCACATTTGATTACATTACCTGCCCCCATAGAATCCCATTGAAACGTATATCATCTTTTTGTGTTCCAGCGCGCAGGGCACCGGGTGCCATAATAAAAAGGTTCGCATTCTCTGCCGGATTGGCGGCGAGATTGGAAACCTATGCCGGTATCACAGTTCTTTGACTGCCATGTGATCAAAGTTACACTCGTATTCCTTTTTAGGGGATTTGATCAGCACACGAAATGGTCAAGTGCGAGTCGGGTCACACACGAAAGGTTCCACTATTTTACAAGATTGAATACCATGACTGCAGGCAGACAGATCTCATAGCCATTATAGTTGATTTTTTAATGAATGATGAATGACAGATTTATACAAGATCGTTTCATCTACGAAGAAGCGCCCCACTATGAGTGATAAATTAAATAAAACACTACAATAATGACGCTCGGATCCCGCACCCCGCGCTTCCCTCGACCAAAAATTGGTGGGGCGCGTCTTCGTGGATGAAACGATCTAACATAGGAATTTCTATGGACACTATAAATAATTATAATGAAATGAAACTAAAAGTTGCTTATTCAGGAATATTCAGGATACTAAGCAAACAAGACACTACATGTAGTTCAATCTTATGAGCGGTGTCGACGTACGTTACAAATCCCGCCCTTCTTTCCCACCAGTAGTGGACGTCCTGTGGCCGAAATGATGGTGATATCTATGGCTTCTACTGCCTAAAACAAAATGTACAAAAACTCACGTTCCGTATCACTAGTATCCGAGAGGGGGGGTTCGTTGGCGATGTATTGTCTTCCACTGAGGAGGTTGCTCTCGACAACTGGCCGCTTGTCTTCCAGCTGTCTCCTGAACGCTCTGTGGTCATCCTGGAACAATGTAACATGATCTTTAGTGTCTACTTCAAAGTATGCAAAAAGTGTTTGGTCACCCTTACATGATAATTTAAGCTGTCATGTTATAATACTAAAATTTCATTTTGTGTCAAATAAAGTTTATCTTATCCTATCTTATCTTAAAATCTATGAAACCATTTACGAGCAGGCTGCAAGTGATCTGTTTGAGCTGGCGCCTTGAATATGCTTTTAGGGCTAAATGTTAACTCCTTTTTGAAAACTAGATGGCACTGCTTACTTAGCTCGCGATATCAAAATATTTTTTAACACCATTTATCATTTACATCCAAAAATATTAATATTTCAAAAAGGTTAGATAAAAGTTAATTGATAAATTTTAATTTTCAAATGTTTCGTTTGTTGTTACAGCGTTACAGCTTACAAGATATTTTTTATTACTCTTCCTTACCCACGGCTATTTCGTGACGACATCAGTTCATTCCAATTGGATTTCCAGTTGAAAAAAGGTTTTTTAACTCAAAGCCAAGGGCCTTCGTTTTGGCTGTACATTTTCCTAATAACAATTACCGAGTCAACAAAGACCGGGGCACTCCCGGAGGAGGCTCGGGAGGGCACAAATTGAATCAAAAGTTGGAGTTCAAAGGTAAAACCTTTAATACCACACTTGAGGCAACGATAATAATGGGAATTTAAGGGCCACCTCCACTAGCTGTTAAAGTAGGTATCTGATAGCGAAATAGGAACTTACGCGTATCTAGGATATCTGTCAGATAAACTACGAGTTTTGGTTTCATTCTCGGGTAGAGATAAAATGAACAAAAACTACCTGAAACTTTTATCAGTCACTGGAAAAACCATTACGGTAAAACTTTTATACGTGAATTGAATATAGAGAAACAAGTTCGTTCATTACGTTTTAAAACGTATTTTTTAAATGCAGTCACACAGTAAATATTCTAAATTAACGTGACATCGGAATACAGGATGATATTTATCTTTGGCCCATCTGGGGATCAAACCCTGGACCGTTACAGAATCCAACAGTCTTACCATTTGGATTAATGAAACTTTTCTTATTTATCCAGAAAAGGAAAACTCTTGGCACATTAGGTATGTACTATGTACGTACGTACTATGTCAATATTAATATAAATAATGTCTATACATTACATTTTATATACCATTGTTAACATTGAAGGGATGAGATGAGTTGCGCATCAAACGCCCTTTGAAGTTCCGTCGAAATTCATTTACTTTTGCATCTTGGTGACTTTAATCTCATTCGAGAGCTATTTATTTCCAAAATGTAACACAGTAGGCTCATGGAAGTAGGGAAAACATGGCTGCTTCTATATCTTGCTGGGAAATGGAGTAATGATTAACTAAGATATTATGTTTGATTGTTATACGAGTAGCAGATTCAAATTTCTGCTAAGACAAAGTAAATTTTCTAAAGATGAACGCATCATTTATTTATTTATTTACTTGGTCCACTAATAATATCATCACTGTAAAGTCTTGTACAATCTCAACAAAAAAATGCAAACTGAATTGATGACATTTTCTAGTCATTAACCTTAACTCTTAAGATAAAACGGCATTTTAGGCATAAGAATGATTTATTGATTGAGAAATTCTACAAAACGGTAGGACATCAGACAGTTACAAAAATATAATAGACCTACCGCACTTAATTTAATTGTTATTTATAAGCCACAACTTCCTCGACGAATGTAAATCCGTGCGATTAGTCCCGTGTATTTGCGAACACACGCTCTGTCATATTAATTAACTTTACGAGAAATGGCTCAAACGCACCGCAAGTATACAGGGTGTCGGGATAACCGTTATAAGAAACCATAGTATGATTGTTGGTACTCGTACATAAAATCGGCCTGATCATCACTTACCATCAGGTGAGATACAGGCCAAGAGCTTCCTCGTTGTGGATAAAAAAAAAGTAACATTAGGTACTGATGGGTACAACTAATACCTACTTAATAATGCCTTGTAAACCTGAGATTACTTGAAAGATTTGGAAGTAGTAAATAAATAGATTTGGAAGTAGTAGTGAGTCATAGCAATTTCTATAAAAGGTACCTAGCCTATGTGCTACCTCACGTATTTTTTTTTTTTTTTTTATGTGATAGGAGGCAAACGAGCAGACGGATCACCTGATGGTAAGCAATTGCCGTCGCCCATGTACACCCGCAACATCATTATAAAGTTTCATCAAAATCAGACCATATTTTGGGTGAAGGAGAAGAACAATTTACATTTAATGTTGAATTGACAACAATACATCCTGTTTTTGTCGCATTCGCGGCCGCCATTTTGCGGTGTGACAATCGAAATGGCGCGAACGTAGTAATATGGCGGCTCATTTCTTGCGCGGTGCGAGTTGCAATTAATGTTTTTTGCAAAGATGTGTTGAATGATATTCGACATATTTTTGGCAACGGAATTCGAACGTTAAAAATGCTACAGGTGAAATTATTTTACGTTGTTCTTTCTTTAATTTTACGAGGTGATTGAGTTACATCCTCAGATCATAGAATTCTATGATCTGAGGTTACATCTGTCGATGGCTCCTTCATGTCGTATTGGTTTTTGTTTTTCACTTTTATGAACATACGCGTATTTTGATTAGTGTTCTAAAATCTAATTACTTTTGAGTCCTCTACAGGAAACTAATTTGTATAAGGTTCTTGTAACCTGAGTCTACGATGAAAAAAATACTCATTAAGTATATCGAGCTTTCGTTTAGTTTTTCAGGCTTTTAATGTTGTTTTTTGTCACCAATGTGATTTATGAAGGAAGAAGAAGAATGGTATTGGATAAAGGCCTTTAAAAAAGTGGAAAATAGGTACTACAAAAAATTGTTCTATCTCCATTTTAGTTCACCATTCACACTAAGCGACACATTTGGAATTAAATTACGCATTTGTGACGTCACCGATACATCGCATCAGCAGTACGCGTTTAATTGGACATTGGACGTGATTTCACCCGTCATGGAGTTTGTTGAATGGACAACACGATGCGAAATACACAATTTACAAGTAATAAAGCTAGTATAGAATTAATAAAATGTATTTTTTTTGTTACAATAAAATGATTAGAACCACTACGCCACCTGAGTTTATAAATAAGATTCTGCGTGAGATGCGACAGATTTTACATAACGATACAAGAAACTTTTATAACGGTTATTTACCATGACTCGTGCAACCGAGTTGAAACCGCGGCAGGGTAAATATCTGTTTACAGATATAAAAGTGTTTTTTGTGTTGCAAGATCCCGTGATAGTGATAATTTTTAGTGAAAATGCAACATACTAAAGCCTGGTCCGTGAGCACGTAGAATTTTGTCCAATGACCCCAAGCTACCCATCCTTATCGCTCGCGCGTAATTATATTGCTGTCGCGACTGTGCGACGGGCGCCCGCAGTGAGTGTGCGAGCGCGACAGCAACATAATTACGCGCGAGCGATAAGAATGGGTAGCTTGGGGTCATTGGACAAAATTCTACGTGCTCACGGACCAGGCTTTAGTTTAAAATATTAATCTTACCTGCTGTTTGAGCAGCGCGGGCAGGTCTCCTCGAGGCGGCGCAAGCGCATTGAGCTCGGTCTCCTTCCTGATGACCCACTCCGTCAGCTCCCGGAGCGACAGCAATAAAGCTGACCAGTGCTCAGCATTGCTCTCTAGCCGGTTTCTGTAAAGAAACGAAGGGTAGGATTAGAATACGTTAAATATCTAAGCAGATATGTACCATCCTAGACTGCATCTCACTTGACACCAGGTGCGATTGCGGCCTGTTATGCATAAAAAACCTATATAAAAAGTGCAGTAAAACGTTTCACTTTGTATGTGCGATGAAGGTCACCAAAATAATAATAAAAGTCGATAATCATTGGAGCTTTGGTATGGTTAGCTACCTACCGACAGAAAACTATTTTTTCATCGTTGTGGAAACAATATTTGCTGTAGATACTTCTTATTGGAATAAATTCATATAATGATAAACTTAAAAACCTACATCAAAAGAAGTTCACCAAAATACCAATAAAACTAAAATAAAGAAACACGGGTCTCAACGCGTCATTTTTACCAATAAAAGTAGGTAGTCTTAAATCTAAAAAAGAAACAGTCGCAACGCGAACCAATATCTTACGAGCTATACGGTTACATAGCTAAATATCGAAATAACTAGTTACCTATTTCAATTTGTAAAATAGGTCATTAAAATATAAATGTACAACTTACAAGTAAGTAGATAACACAGTTTCACATTAAAATTTGCACAAGTGAGACACAGGTGTCTTGATTAACGTTCAAAATCGTCATATTTTTTGTTTAAAAGGCACTAACATTATCGGTAATATTTCTTCTTGAGAATTTTTAGAAAGATACTCCAATATTTCAACGCACTGACATGCTCCATGATCACGACTAAACTAACTAAAGTAAAATGCGGGTGGGCGATTATTGGCAGAAAAAACGGTTTACCCTCTTTTCAGTCTATCACTTTCAACTGCGGTACCGCTAATCACTTGTAACTCGAACTTTTCTCACTCACAATACTTACTATGTCCAATCATGTATAAGTAACGTTTATGTTAGTGAATCATTTTTTCACTGGATTTTTTTGTATTTACTTGAGAATTTAGTTTTGCATGGTGCATGCAACAGCGCCGAAATATCGCAATCTCGTTCAAATATAGGTTGAAATCCTGTTATTTTGAACAATTTAAATCATCTTTTGTCTCCGCAATTTTAAACTACAGCTTCGGGACAATACTCGTAATGAAGGCTAGTGCTGCGCAATAAAACGTCCGAAAAACGATTTTTTTATTATAAACCTAATCCCTAGTTACGTAACAAATAAAATCAAATGACAGGAACCGCATTCAAGGCTAAAGAACCCGTGACTAAGGCTATGGATGGGTCACTTTTTGTCACTGTGACAGTTTTATTTTTATCTTTTACAATTTTTATAGAGAAAAAAGAGACAACGTAGTACTAATTTTTATCTATGGAGAAAATACTGTCACGGTGACAAAAGTCACCCGTGCGCGCGCGCCTTAACAGATATAAAACAAATCCCCGTATGAGCAATTACAAGTTTCATACACTCAAAAACCTATAAAATCGCTCGTAAACCTACTAAATATTCATAATAATAATTTTATTAAGCTGTTACAAAGTTGGCACTCATCTGCCATAAAATCAGGCCCCATAAAAGGAGGTTTCCTCGCGAGCTATCGCGGGAGGGACGGTAACTCAAAAACTTGGCTACGCCACGAAATAAGCGCAATTGTTGAAATTTTGGCCGAGGTTCTGCTCTCTAATATGTTTAAGCCGACTTTGGGTGAGGGTAGGGCGACATTTTCTGTGTCGATAATATTGTAATTGTTTAGATGAACGACGATGATAATTACCTATATAATTTTCTATGTCAAATGTCGATAGTAGAAGTTGTTTCTATGAACAACGATGATAAATTGCCTATGATGAACTTATGCCTATTGAAAGAAGTGAGATATTTTTTCATAATTCATAGAGAAGATGTTCAAAAAAATTAACACGGATCGTATGATGAGATTAACGTGAATTAAAGTTATTTTAGATAGCTATTTGACCATTTTTATGTTGAACAGCTTGTCTTGTAGCTTTCTTTTTCTTATTAGCAAAAGTTATCATTGAAACTTGAATTAACCTCATCTAAAATAAATACGCAAACTCCGTCGATAAAAAATTAAAAGTCTATCGACATCGAGTAGTCCCAACTCTAAAGCCAATTTTATAAATCTCAGGCTTTCCTTTTGAGCCAATTGCAGCAAGTTTTACACTTTCTCGTTTTACTTAATATTGCTTAAATTTACACGAACTTCAAACTACAGAGATTCTTGTCTTATGCCTTAGGGAATACAGTCCTGTATCGCTTGACAATTAAGTGAGAATTGACAAATCCTTTGAGTATTTTAATAGGTCTACTTATTTGAGGGTTTCGATTTACTTTTGGAAATCTTAATTAGGTTTTGGGTTTGTGTAGTAGTAAAGAAACTTAATTTTATGAGTTGGATTAATTAAGCCATTTATGAAATGTTAATAAATATTAAACAAGTACATTTTAATGGGGTTTTGCAAACATACTTATACATGAAATAAAATAGGTACATAAACCTAAAGTTTTTGGGTAATCTGTAATCATCGTTGAGTAGCATTATGTGTTTGTGATAAAAACTATTTCTCCTATTTTATTAATGTAGTATTTACCTGTTAAATGTTTGTACCAATAGCAGGCTAACTGATTAAATTTTTATTTATCCGCGTCTTATACATACAAATTATAAATTAAAAGTAAATTAGATAGATAATCAAATGAAATGACCAAGAGTTCAGTGGTCAAAACTCAATTTAAAAGCCCAAAAACAAGCAACAAAGGCCACCGTGACGTCATCAAAGCTTTGAGTTTCGAGCTTTGGACAAAGCGACCACCTGATCAGCGCGGTCAAGTTAAACACGCCGTGTGAGCTTTGTCCGCAAAGGGAGCTTTAATGGGGATTTGAATGTTTGATGTCAATTTGATGGTGAAGACCTTAATTTCTTTAAATAATAGAAGAAAATTTATGGTTATGTAATTTCATAATAATATGTTGAATTCATAAACGATTAAAATCAATTGTTGTGTTGTTTGTTTCTTTGTAGGACTTATGTTTTAACACTTAACTTTCCCTCACCTTTGAAATAATTACGTAAGTGCGTAATATTAATTTAAAATATAATTATTTATATTTACAACTTTATTAATAGTAGTATACCTACTTTTTAATTGACCGTTGAAGAATTATTAACTACAGTGGAAATCAAGTTTCATTTAACTATAAAACACTTTTATGCTCCAATTGGAAATAAAACCTGTTTTCTGTGTTCTCTGTTTCACCTATAAATAAACTAAAGGATAAACAATTAATTGCGAAACAATACGTCCCCGTTTTATAACCGAACGCACATAAAATGCGCAAACTGTTTCCGCCGCCATCTTGCTTGATGGCGAGTGACGTCACTTCACAATGACGCTACTGTGTGTGGAAAACGTCTAGCTGTGGGAGGACATTAAAAACGCGTAGATTTGCCTTTATTAACCGACTGCNTTTCGGTTATTTATTAAATCGATATTTGCTGGTGCCGTACATTACTTTTAAAAAAGCACTCTCACCTCTGATCCTTAAGAATGTATTATACTTAAATATTATACTACTCTTGAATCACTCTATCTATTAAAAACCGCATCAAAATCCGTTGCGTGGTTTTAAAGATCTAATCATACATAGGGACAGACAGAAAGGAAACTTGGTAAGCAACTTTGTTTTATAATAATAATATAGTGATAATAAAAAGACATCAAAAACCAATATTTACTGAAGATTTCATCTCTGTAAGTAACTACATATTTTAAACGTTTAAAATTACCAATTACGCAGGGTAATAAAATCGAGTGTTAAAAATCAAATAACCACAGACACCTTTACGTTTGTAAATAAAAGCGTTTTCAATAAACAATTTCTAGTGAACTACGTTTATGGTTAACTTTATTGAAAATGCAGATGTAGTTTCCCACGACCGCCATTTTTATGGCCACAACGCGGCCATTTTACTGGCAATTGAAACGGAATCAAATGCACTTTACAACCGAGATACATGTTTTATCAACTGAAAACGTATCTCGGATGGTCTTCAATTGTTTAGTAAGCTCAACTGAACCTTATGTTCAAGAGTTAGAGTCCAGGTGTTTTACAGGTTTATAGCTCTATATCGCTCGGAGTGAGCAGTAAAATCAGGTTTATGTGGTCGACTGTACTTATCACAAGCTCCGGATTTGCTTGCGGTTACGCCTGTTTTGTGGCCTCGGTAGTTTATGGGCTGTTCTGATGGTTGAGTGGATTAAACTGAGGAAAAAATAGTTTAGGTTATGGTAAAGTTACTACAGGTAGCTTTACAGGTAAGATAATTTACTTAAAAGTATGATTCTAGAGTGGTCTAGTTTAACAGTTTCATATGTTATGTGGCTAGCTAATAGTATGTTTCGAGTAGGATTAATAATGTAGAGTATGTAGAGATTAGAATGGAACGTCAAGATTGTGAATACCTCCTAATATTAGACTATGGGTGATTCAATTGATAGATAGATAGATAGATATTTATTTGCATCACCATAATGTAACATAGGATAGATAAGGCTTAAAGCTAAATAGATCATTATAGACCCTGTCGGGCACTGCAATTAGAAGATGATTATTGATGGATTGACGTCGTGTAGGTACATAAGTTATAGTTAATATGAAATGTGCTGATAAGGTAGTACAGTCAGCTTCAAATAGATCGTGACATCCAAAGTAGCCAATAAGTTCGCAACACGTCTTTGTCACAATTTGTGGTGTGGCGTGTAAATAGCCACACCAGGAATAAAATTGCGGAGAAGAAAGATGATGCGGGGGTCGGCTGGTGACTCCAAACAACTCAAAAATACAGCTGCATAAAATGGAAACCACCAACCTGCGGATCAGGAGACGGAGACCAGGCTTCGAGGGTCGATCCGTCGATATTTCTTGCGGTTTTATTATTTCAATATATTCAGAAAATATTCAGCGGACTTTTCACATTTGATTGACGTTCCAAGACAACATAGAGTTTTCTTCTTAATTTTCTATA